AATAGAGGTACGGAATATAAGGATCAAAGAGGCAGGACCACATGGGTATTCTTTGACACACAATGTTGAATGATTCGATATTCTTATTTTTTTGGAAAAAAAAATTACAAGGTAATGGGTGAAGGAATGATGGGTCAACGAGAGAAATAGTTTATTTTGAAGGAACAAAACAGCCGAAAGCAAAACCTAAAGGGGCTTTAGTAAAAGCTTATGTTTGTGTTTTAATGTATCAACCTTCCTTCAAATTTCTAGGTGTGTCGGTTTGAGGCTTTGTAGGGTTCATCATTTAACATGTCTTTCTTCATTACTTATTACAGTTTATCAAGTCAAAAGGCACACCAGATTTTGCGTCCATTTATATCGGAGATTCATCTTCTACATTATTTTGGATAATTAAATTATGGTTTCTGGCTTCTACTACCTCCTAGGCAATTTTTTCCACATTATTAGCTGTGCTTGGATTGGACCAAACCACGCAATTTTCTTCTGTGTATATTCTTTTTTTAAAACAAAATTATTTAAAACTCTCTCTTAATGAAGTGTTCACAAATGAAAATGGACGCTTTTGGTCTTACAACACGGAAGAAACGCGTCTGAAAGAGACGGAGCATCATTGCGCACTTGATAAACGAGAAAGACGAAATCAAAGTGCATGCCTACCGTTGTACTTTGTACTAATCATGGGTTGTGTTATTTTCGTCCTAAAAATATTTGTCAAGTATTTGAAATTTTTTTGTTCAGCATCATCTCAAAAGTACTCTTCCAATTCTAAATATAAGATCTATTTTTTAGTGTAATTTAAAATGGGTGTTATATTTAGGAATGAAAGAGTATTAAACAAAGCAATCTTACCCTACCTACTAGAAGATTAAACTAACGTGACTGTTATCTTTTTCTTTCCAATGGCATGGGCGAAATTGCTCTATTTTTAATACTTTCAATGTGATATTGAGTAACAAAAAGTTTTGAATATCCACAGCTGCTTCGCGTAAATATTTTCAAAAGAAAAATGTCCTTTAATGCACTAATTGATTATTTTCTTATGCATACATTGATACTTTTTTATTAGATTTTCTATTCATAGCAAACAATATGAATGTGAATGAAATCAACACATCCTAAATTTCAATCATGTCACACCACTACATAACCTATGGTTTAAATGTTATATATTGAGTTTCATAGATAATTTTTCCTTGCTATTTATAATAATATGATACTTCTGGGGACTAATTACATTGCAAATATTTTTCTTCTATATTTTTTCCTGGCACACACACACACACGTTATGATCATCACTTTTATAGAAGGAGGGAATGATATGGTATTAGTAAAACCAAGAACTGAATGGGAACTCATTAGAAAGATTACAAGTTCAGTTTGCTATATATGCTGGAAAATTTGTAGTTAAAACTATTACAAAGGGGGAGAACATTTCTAGAACCTTAAACACATATTTCTAGAAGATCAAATTAAATGGGGCCAAGAAGAATAAATGCTTTTTGATGTTATATAGACTGTGAAGAATGATGATGCCACAGTTTAAGAAGAGTCAATGTTACTACTTCTCAGCAACACTCGGTAAATCTTTATGAAACCATAACAAAGTTTCCACTTATTCTTATCATATGGAATTTAGATTATGTTGTTTAATTAATAATTGTAATAATGAACATACGTCAATCCACTTAAGATTATTAATTGATATCTCTTTCTCTTTGTTTCTAACAGATGTCATTAAGATTCGTTAATCTTCAAGATTAATATATTATTATGGCATAATATTAATACTAATTTATACATTATTCACAAAAAAAAAATTTTGGATTTTATATTATACTTCATACATGCAACTATGCAAGGTTAGTGTGAGACTTATTCCATAGTCTTATTTCGATTAGTTTATTTCAATTAATTTACATTATACTAAAATGTAAAATCATTTTTTAACATAGTTACAAAACACCCACTTAAGTCAATTGAGTTCTACACTCTCAAGGTTATTTTAATTTCTTGAATTTAAGCAACAAATTTATTAAAGAGTATAAAAAGCCCAAAAGGCACTATATAAATAGATAAATAGTTAATTTAGATTATATTGTGCTCATTCATTTAGTTTTATTTTTAATCATGCGGCGCTAGAGGAGAGAACCAGAATAATCTGTTAATAATGCAGTTCGTTGCTTCTTCACAAAGATTACCGACTCGTGATCTTGAGTAGGATATGGATGTTTATATTTTAATAGCAACTCGCCTCAAAGGAAATGAAAAAAAGGTCATTAGAATATTCCAGATACTCTTCCGATCCTTAATATAAGACCTATTTAACTAATTTGATTAGATTAAGGAAGTTAGATAAGTTAGTTAATTATAGGAAATATGACATAAAACACCATCATCATTTTTCTTAATATTCTTTTTCCCTCACTTATTTGACTATGGTTGAAAGAATATTCATAAGGGTAATTTAGGAAAAAATGATAATATAAAAATAGGTTTTATATTTAGGATAAAATCAACTTAACAATTAGATCTATATTAAGGGTTGGAGGAGTATTATAATTTGAAAACTCACAGTGAAATTTACAAAATAAAATATACCTAAATCAGATAAGTTATACGTTTCTAGTACTTAAATGTTTTTATTTTTTATAGGGCACATATCTCTAGTACTAATCTTTGATAACATGTACGTGACCAACGGTAAGACAAACACAAGTGGAGAATTTTCTTGGCTATTAAGTTTATTTAAATGAATATTACTCTCTCATTCTAAATAGAGAAGCTAATTGGGATATTTGCTTCATCTTTTTTCCAGGGCTTATTGAAACCATTCATGCTCGAGACAATGCCAAAATATGTGGTTTCTCCAATCAGATTCGAACCTTAAATCGTCACGTTATGAAAAACTAGTCCTTTGCTAGACCCAACACACCATTAGTAGTTGAGATATTTGCTTTGGTCTTGATGGCATTAAACCAACACATATTTATCACTCACTAATTACATATATAAAATGAGAGTTTCCATAGAGTTACTGATTTTGCATAAAACAAGACACATTTTTATTTTTATTGATAACCATTTAACTAATTTTTTTTAATATTTATAAATTAGTTATCTAATTTTTATATTAAATATTAAAAATACTGGACTCTTAAAACTAGGGAGAAATTCCATCAGCGCAAGCAATCTTGGCTGGCATGGAAGTTGCGGAGAGAAATCCAGATTCACAGGTCATGCTGCCAGGTGCCAATATATAGACAGCTCAGTGAACATGCATAATGCAGATTCACCCTCCAAACAAACGTGACACCACCGCGAGGCTGGCGTGCATGCTTCAGAATTAATACGTTAAAGGCCTTCACTAATCAATTACTCTTGATCAAAATGAATAAAAGCCAAATTATGTATATTATGAAAATTTTAATTTCATCTTTCAAAATGGGAAGCTTTTATGATTCTTAAACAAATCCTCATTATGCAATTTTTTTTTTTGTTTGTCATTATTTGATCATCACATGAACATTGTGTGACACCAATTTGGCAACTCAGTGAGAGTTATGAGAACAGGTGTCATTTTTCCTCAATTATAAAAAGGAACAGGCCTGTATAGCTAGCCATATGAAGTAGCAAGCAGCTTTCCTTCCTGATTCATGTTCAAGTTCTGCAAATTCCGGGTGGTCAAGGTAAAAAAAACAAGAGCCTTTGATCATTTTTGCAGTAGTTAGTATGAGCAGCATTGAAGTCGGGGCCAAAAGGGGTGGAGAAGATGAACTTTCTGGCTTTCTGTCTTGTCAAATTTGTACTCTGAAATTTGTGTTAGCTTCATTGTTTAATCTATTTGCGTGTGATTCGTGGTTTTGAGTTTTGACAACTAATAGCATTAGTTAAATCGCAAATCTGAGGTTAATAAAGGTAAGGTGAAGATGCTTTTGTGCAAGCTTTATCTTTTACGTGCTGAGGAAAAGAAAGGCAGGGACTTAATAACAGTATTAAAGTTGGGATTAGAATATTGAAAAGAAATACAAAACTGAGAGATTCTCTGAGAGATTTTGGTTTCTTTTCTCACTTCTTTTGCTTTTTTCCACATCTTCACACTCACTTTTACGTTTTATGTTTCTTGGCCTCCAAGTGGTCTTCTTGGGTTGCCAAAATAGCCAAATACAACTGCATTGCATAACGTTACAGACAAGGCGTCACTCGTCACTCACACCCTCCACCCTTCTTCTCTACTGTTATCGTTCTTCTTTGAATTTCCCAAGGAGTCTAACCGAAGAAAGTTTTCATTTTGCGTGACTTCTCTTGTTTTCTCCACCTTTTTCTCTCGTTCTTCTTCACTGTCATCATCATCATCATCCTTCTGTGCTTCACTGAGAAAAGAAAAAACTCAAACTGGGTTTTCTTTTTCTACGTCTGGGCTTGTAAATATTTTTGTTTTACCTCCGTTTGAGTTCTGAAAGCTAGGGGGTTAGTGAGAGTACTGGAGAATGGCCGGAGGAGGAGCTGCGCCACCGCCGAAGCAGGACGAGCTCTTGCCACACCCAGTGAAAGAACAGCTGCCCAATGTTTCTTACTGCATAACAAGTCCTCCTCCATGGCGTAAGATCATTTTCTTAGTAATGTGATGCTTGTTCCTTTCTTGTTTTTGGTTCGGGGAAACCCACCTTTTTTTAAGTTATGGGAAAATTGAGTATAGAATTTTTATTAATGAAGCGGAGGCGATTCTACTGGGTTTCCAGCATTATCTGGTCATGCTGGGCACAACTGTTCTGATACCCTCTTCTTTAGTTCCTCAAATGGGAGGAGGCAATGTAAGTCTTGAAAGTGAAAAAATCAAGTGTTGACTAGTCCTGTTCGATTATGTGCTTCTTCAATTTTTGATAGAAATTGCAAATGTGGTTCATTAGGAAGAGAAAGCAAAAGTGATTCAGACTCTACAGTTCGTGGCTGGAATAAACACCTTGTTCCAGACATTTTTTGGGACTCGTCTACCTGCGATTATTGGAGGATCCTACACCTTTGTCCCTGCTACGATTTCAATTATTTTAGCAGGTCGCTACAGTGACACTGTGGATCCTAGCGAGGTTGGTCGGTTGGTTCGTTCATGGGATTGCCTTCTTGCTTCTGGCTATAAACCATTTATGTTGTATCATTATCGTTGCTTACCTGATTTCTGGTGAAAATGCAGAAATTTGAGAAGATAATGAGAGCAACACAGGGTACTCTCATTGTGGCTTCGACCGTCCAAATTGTCCTTGGCTTCAGTGGTCTTTGGCGCAATATAGTGAGGTTGATTGAAACTTTGTACTCTGAGCTTCTTCATTGTTTTTGCCCCTGCAGAGTTTTGCAAACTTATTTTGGCATTTCCTTTGTCAGATTATCTGTACAATTCAGTAACTCTTCTCCTTTTCATCTGCTTGTCAAGAGATGTTATGCTTTAATAATGGATTTACATATTATCAATTTTTGTGAAAGTTATATATTCGTTTTCAGCCTCTTGGTGAATAATCTGGTTTTCATCTGCTTAGGTTCTTAAGTCCACTCTCTGCTGTTCCCTTGGTTGCTCTATCAGGCTTTGGCTTGTATGAACTCGGGTTTCCTGTGGTATGTATATTTTAAACAGTCATTAGTACTCACTATATTACTTTCCTCTTATACGTAACTACATCTTGCGTAATTCTAGCTTGCGAAATGCGTGGAGATTGGGTTGCCAGAAATCGTCATGCTTTTAATATTTTCACAGGTAATTCACGATTGTCTTCATGCTATTGCAACATTAGATTTATATTTGCACATATTTCTCGTAGTAACAAACACCCACCATGCATGAGGATTTTAATTCTGGAGTCAATTCTTGCCATGTTTGTTTGTCTTCTACATTAAATTTACAAGTAGTGGTGTGCTTTTGCAGTACATTCCTCATATGATAAAAGGAGACAGACCTATATTTGATCGCTTCGCGGTTATATTCTCAGTTGCAATTGTGTGGGTTTATGCTCATCTCCTCACTGTGGGTGGAGCCTATAAAAATGCAGCACCTAAAACTCAACTGACTTGCAGAACTGATCGTGCTGGAATTATTAGTGGTTCCCCTTGGTAAGAAGGATCGTGTTATTAAAATTCGGATGTGCAGTTTATCAATAATAGCATGATCAGTACAAGAGCGATCATGCTTTTAAAATTTGTACCTAGATTAGCAGAAAAATTGTGGTTTAACTTGCAGTAATGTTAAAATCTTATGCAGGATAAGAGTCCCATATCCTTTTCAATGGGGAGCTCCTACATTTGATGCTGGAGAAACTTTTGCTATGATGGCTACTGCATTCGTTGCTTTAGTGGAGGTTTGCCTATTTTCATGCAGGCTTTTATTTTGCTCGGATTAGCCAATGAACGATATATGTATATATGTTTGACCTTGAGCAACTTTGAGTGGGCAAATTGTTCTTTCCAATGGGATTCGTCATTGGTTTTTTCTCATGAAATTTTTTTTCCCCATCTTAACAGTCGACTGGTGCTTTTATTGCTGTGTCGAGATATGCAAGTGCAACTCCCATACCACCTTCAGTTCTTAGCCGTGGTGTTGGTTGGCAGGTAACATAGGTTATGAATTTTAAATAGTTTCCCAGTTAAGATGATTTGAGTTCTCTTAACAAATCAGAATGTATTTCCAATTTATAGTTTAATCCTCCTCCATTAATATGATATAAATGCTTTTAAATTAGTCTGTTATCTTTGCATTCTTGTTCTCATTCATCATGATTGATTGTGGCTTTCCTTGTATCAGGGAGTGGGAATTTTGTTGTCTGGGATCTTTGGGACTGGGAATGGATCATCAGTTTCTGTGTGAGATTCTAGTTCAAAACCTCAACATTTTCTTATGAACACCTATCTCTTAGCAGTATATTTACTGTTATGAAAACTCTCCTTGGCTTTTCCCAGTGAGAATGCTGGACTTTTGGCTCTGACACGTGTTGGTAGCCGAAGGGTGGCTCAAATAGCAGCTGGATTCATGATCTTCTTTTCAATACTCGGTATGCTTGTATTATAATCAATTATTTGCCTCTTTCATGTTAAGCGTATGTACTGAACGTGATTGCCATGCAGGAAAATTTGGAGCTGTCTTTGCTTCAATCCCAGCACCAATTGTTGCAGCATTGTACTGCCTTTTCTTTGCCTATGTGGGTAAGTGTTCTCAACTTAAGAACCTAGTTTCATCTTGTCACTTATAGCTCCATTAAAATTGATTGTTTACTTTGTTTAATTTCATTGCTCCAACAACACACAGGTTCTGCAGGCCTCAGTTTCCTTCAGTTTTGCAACCTGAACAGCTTCAGAACCAAATTCATCTTAGGTTTTTCTGTTTACATGGGCTTGTCCGTTCCTCAGTACTTCAATGAGTATACAGCATTCAAAGGCTATGGCCCTGTCCACACCCATGCTAGATGGGTATGTATCCAATGACCAAAATAATAAATAAGACTCAATCAATCATAAAAACACAAAAGCATAGCCAAAATATATTAGGCATTCTCTTGAATATAGGAACATAAGAATCCTTCTGTTTACCATATCTTCTCCTCATTCATGAAATCTTTGCTTTTGAATGACAGTTCAATGACATGATCAACGTTCCGTTCTCATCAGAAGCATTTGTGGCTGGTATGCTGGCACTGTTCTTGGACGTGACACTGCACAAGAAGGACAATCAGACCCGGAAAGACAGGGGGATGCACTGGTGGGACAGATTCAGATCATACAAGACAGATACGAGGAGTGAGGAATTCTACTCTCTTCCTTTCAATCTCAACAAGTTTTTCCCATCTGTTTGATTCTCAAACAAAGATTAGTTATTATGTAAGCCTGCTTCAATCTCTATCTAATTGCGGGCCCTGCTGCATCTGATTCATATCTCAGAAAATCCTTAATCTTCTCATCAGATGTGGCAGAATATGCTTATCTTCGTTTTTGCCTCTCTATTGATCTCCTATGACACTGCTTTATAAAATCCAGTTGCAAGTTTAAATCATCTCATCATCTGCTCATTAGTATTCTGATTTAAAAGATGATGAGACTGTGAAGTATTAGTACTTAACATCACCCAACTAAAGTCATTTTAAGATATTCCTCCTTAAATTATTCTATAACACTGTATCTTATAATATTTGTGGCTTTTAAGAAGGTAAAGGACTGAATGATTAAGGGCCTGAGAGCAATGTAACAGAAGAAAGCAAATCCATATTGCGCCATGTTTGTGTGTCATCAATGATGGGCATGCAAGGTACATTATAATTTATACTAATGGGTGAAAATATTTCAGAGCTTTCTTTCACTCTGGGGGGATCGTTTTCACAAGATCACGATCCAGAGACTATACGCAAAAATATTTGTTTTCCTTCCGCACGAGGGGGGACCCCATATTTCATTATTTATTTTTACTGTAGGAATTGAAATACACGCAGGGGACGCAGACAAAAGAAAAAATGGTACGAATTGCGAATCAAAAAGTCTATTTTTTGAATCTTGAATTGAAACTTATCATGAATCGTAAAATTCATAAATAATTATTAAAGATGACATATAGGTAATTTTATAGAAGTAAACATCAAAAGTTTGTAGATATTAGGTTCTATACACCTCACAAAAAATAAAAAAAAAGCCAATATATATCAAATTTCAATGACAAACAGTCCCCAAAATCAAATAAGGAATGAAAAATTAGGGTTTTGATTGATATTTGATAAGCTAGAAGTGATAAGTGCATTAGGGAGTATTTATATGACAGATTTTCTCCTATAAATAACAAAAAAATCAGAAAAATAAATATGAAAAAGTTTTTTAACGTGTTGAGTCTGATCCAGCGCCACTCAACATTTCCTGAATCGTATGATTCTAATGTGAATCGCACAATTCTAGTGTGAGTCGCATGATTTAGACCACAAAAAAATACAATGAAATATTTGAATATTTTATTGTCTATTTTGTCTCGAATTGCAAGATTCAAATCGCAAATCGTGAGATTCTACAATTGGTATGTGCTCACTCATTTTCAAGACGATAATTTAACTGAGATACCAAATTTGGTTTGGATTAAATGCGAAAAAATTCGTAAATCTGTCTCAAAAAATATAAAAGTGCTTTCTTTAAGCTGATCCAAACAGCTCATTTTTGGTGAAACTCAACTCAGTGGGATTCCTGGATATGCCTGTGAGGATATGATCAAAATCTACCAGTCAATGGTAACTCTAGCTCTTTATGGATGTGTGTGTGTGTATAAAATAATCAATCTTTTTTAACTCCAAAACTTAATCCTCGCATAATAAAAGTATCTGGGCTTGCTTAAACTTAGATTCTTTCCAGGAGGTTCAAGTATCAGATGAAGACAGACCTGGAGAGGAAGCTTTGGGCCTCTCTTTCATTTTCTCTCCACTCTGTCCTGAAAATCCTCTTCGTGTTAATTTGTAATACTTCTCCGGTTCTTAATATAAGACTTATTTAACTAATTTGATTAGATTAAAGAAGTTAGGTAAACTAGTTAATTAAAAAAAATGACATGTTTTTTCTAAAACATTATAATCATTTTCCTTAATATCTTCCCTCCTCTTCTACTTGATTATGGTTCAGGGAATATTAACAAGGCTAATTTAGAAAAAATTAATAAATATAAGAAATAGGTCTTATATTTATGATAAAAAATAACTGTATTAAGAATCGGAGGAGCATAACATTAGCCATATTTATTTAACTATTTTTACTTTGCAAATCATAACTTCTTTAGCCTTCAACTGGACACTGAAAAGAAGATACTCCAAATGTCTAGAATCTCATTACCTCTCACTAAATTCACATCCGAAATGTGTGCGTATTTTCACATTATCATACACCCATATTCACATTATTTTTGTGTACAGATTAATGCTATTTGTATATATTTTTCACCTTCTTTGCTCTTTCAAGCCTTTTCGTTAAACAATAGATATATAATAACTATAACTTAGATTTTATATTAATAAGCCGTGATATAATCGTAAAAGATCTTTTTTTTTTTGGTAAGAAAATTTTTGGAAAGGGATTGGGCTCACCCACGATCCAAGAGCATGGCGAAATCTCCCTTCCTCCTAGGTCATACCAATGTTGGGTAGGGCGAGCCGTCAATTACCCTTAAGTGTTTACCTAGGCATCCAGGAGCTAGGATGCCTGCCCAAGCGCCGTGACTGGAACCACAACAAAGTATCTTATATTTATTAAATACACAAAGTGATTTGTGTATTTTTTGTGGACTTAACCAAAGAGAGTTTGTGTGAATGAAGGTGTGGTAGTATGTCAGCTTATCCGTTCATATATACTTAATCTTTTTTAATTCACAATATGTTTTACACCCTCTTCACTTATAATTAATTTCATTATTATTAATCATATTATTATCTTGCAATGCAGCATTGACTACACTCTTCTTAATTTGTAGTCACAATATATGCAAATCAACGTCAAAATGCGTAAAAGATTTAAATTGTAAATGAATCATTTACGTGTAATTAATCTCTCTATCTTCAAATAAGGACAGACTTTTGCAGTTATGCTTTCAATTTCACACTGATAAATACTCAGAATATTTAATTACAATGACTTCCTAGATTTGAGATCATGTGCATTATTGCGCAAGTGCCCTTATTTTAATTAAATTACTAGTTCCTAATTAAATTAGCAATGAATTCCTAAAGCAATTAATGGAAGCATGACATGTCCAGAGATCCTCAACCAATTAATAAAAATGACTTTGAAAGTCTATTCATTAATTAACGACACGTCATCTTTTTTCACTAGTTTATTAATTATTAATTAATGAATGAGTAATTATCAGCGTGAAATTGAAAGCATAACTACAAAAGTTTGTCCTTATATGAAGATAGAGAGGTTAATTACACGTATATGATTCATTTACAATTTAAATCTTTTACCCATTTTGACGTTGAATTCATCTTGAAAAAGCATCTCCAAGAGTTTAGCACAGATGATTAATACCCAGGGGAAAAAATATGGAAAAAGTGGGTTAATTAAGGAAAAAGACAAAAAGCTTTTGCCACAAAAATTGACACACCCAAACAAACAATTAAAGGATGGGTTTTATTTTTCTATTAAGGCAAATAATGATGCCATTAGCACCTTATAAATGTCCCCGAAAACAAAGACAGACCCAATTGTGATTTGATTAAACCTAATTGATGTGGGAGACAAAGTTGACCCTCCTCAAAAATCGTTGTGTCCATTTCTGATATCTCTCTCACATAATATTTAATCGATCAGTATCCTCCTTTTATTCTTGTCGACCCAAATAATTGCAATCAACTTTGCTTTAATCTTTCTCTCTACAATTGCTTCTGCCATTAGGGAACATTCACAAAGCCAAACTCTTGCTCACTGGACGAACCAAAAAGTGAAAGGGAAATTAAAGTTGATAAATCTCTAGCCATTCGTGCATGAATTTGTCGAATTCACGTCAAAAAGTAGAAAAACACACACACAACACACAGAGACAGCGACTTTATACAAATGTATTGTGATAATAAAGTGCTTAATCAGTTATATAACTATGCCGAAATGGTTGTGATGATCCATTTCTTTTCTTTTAATTCGTGATGATATGGGATTGGATGATAGAGGAAAATTAATTATTTTTATGATATATTAATTGATATGAATGAGAGCAAGTAATATATATAATTGAAGGACTTTTGGGATGGACATTGCACCAACCAGGGGCTTTCACATCCGTCGTGTGGTGTGGTCGGATAAAGGAATCTTGCATGTTTCTGCATCCGACCAAACACAGCGTTCTTTGAATTCGGACCAATTACTGTTTCGCTTTCTCATATCTTATTACCACACCTTCCTCAAACCTTTGATTTAGTTTGTATATCATATTAAGTAGTGTTTGGAAACATGTTTGTCAAAACCAGAATCATGGTTTAATTTTGATCATATATAAGTTACCAAAGGCTTAAGTTTCCATTAGAATCATTGGGGTTTTGTAAGTAGTCAATTGTTGGATCTCTTATATGCTAATATACGTTTCCTCCTACAGTTAAAGATCAGACTAAACAAGAACTATATAAGACCATCATCAATCATGGATATGCAGTTTCTCTTCAAGTTCCAAGCTGATACACAAGATACAGTTATTTTGTGGTAATATGAAGAAATGAAGACTCAGAAAAACCCGCAAGGTGCTAATTAAGGAATTAATTATGCCAATATGTTGCTTAAAGGTCACAAGGTGTGCCTTTGAATTAATATGAATATTACTCCCTTCCATCCTAAAAGAACTACAAAATGAGTTTATTTTAATCTTAAATATATATAAGACGCCAACTTACTTTATCTTTTAAATTTTTAATTTTTTTTAACTGATTACACATATATATCAAGATGGCTAGTATTTCATTAAGGGAATAGTTTCATGTGCAAATAGTTAAAATACTTATAACTAAATTAATCATTTTATTCCTATTCTCTGCAAATGAATTAGCTAATTCTTTAATTAACATTGGATGAAGCATTAATAACATAAATTCATATATGGGTAGAAGAAGACAAACTTTGGCAGGCTCCTGGGATGTGTGTAGGAAAGTAACAAAGTTGAATGCTAGAGTCTTCTTGACCTATACATATCATATGGGCAATTAGGTAGCTGTGGAGCTAAGGGCACCATGACCACATGGGAAAGCAAGAATCCTGGGAAGACGTCTTATCTTTGCATGCATGCTAAACTCAGGCATCCCATCCACTTGCCTTCTGCACATTTTATTTTAAAATTTTATATATATGTCGACGCCATGAATGAATAAAAGACAACCAATAATGCAGAGTGACCGCGCGAGAGAGAGAGAGAAGGAAGATCAATAAATCTTCGATAACAGTACTTGTATCTTTTTTGGTCCGTTGAATTAATTAGTCTCTGTTCTAAATGATGTGATGGACGGTTTGAGAAATTAATAAATTATTAATATTATTGCTTTAATCATTGTCATC